ACAATTATTAAAATTGAAGTTATTTTTTAATTTTTAAAATAAATTAAAATATAATAAATACACATTTATTATGTGTCTTAAAGGTATAAATTAAAATTTTCCTATTTAAAATTACTATACTAATAAGAAATAAATGAACAAAAATAACAAATTACAATAAATAAATAATAGAATAGGCATAAACCTTCACTAATAAGAGACATCACTGGCATTATACACTCAATACACCTTTCTGATGTGTACTTACTTGTTTTTATGTGATTACTGATGTGTGGTACCTACTAATATATCAAAAAAATTAGCATACAATAGGATGTAAGCAAATTTTGGAACTTTTTGGTTTTTGTGTATTTTATTTGTATAAAATTTTACAAAATCGAAATCCATCGTCACTTTTCTCACTTTCTTATTTTTATATTATCTCTTTATGCTTTTTGCCCCTTGCATACAAGTAACAACAGTACAATTTTAAAATTATAGCTTTGATTTTTATATAGATGGAGTTTTGTTTTAAATTTTTTTATTGATTATATAATGTTTTTAATAATTATATTTTATGTGATTTGTACACTTACGTAGAATTTTACTTAAAATATAAATAATTATAAGCTCATTTAATTTATATTTTAAATGTACAAATTAAAAGTATATTAAATATATTTTTATTATAAATTTATATTAAAAATAAAAAATAATTTTTAATTTATTAATTATCTAATTAAATTTATTTAATATTAAAATTAATATCAATTTTATATCCTTTTATATATATTATAGTAAAAGAATAAATTTTAAAATACAAATTAAAAAAATCCCAATAACTATTACATACATATTATACAGATGATGTATGCATGTTTGTGTGTACTCCCAATTTATCATTAAAGTAAGTAACCATTTGCTTGGAATTAAGATCTTGCCCCTACATCACTAAGATATTTGTTGTTCCTTCTTTCCTCCATCATGTGCTCAAAACTTTTTCTTTGGGGCAAAGGGTCTTCAAGACATTGAAATTCGGTTTCTTGGTATGTATTTATTCTCTAACGCGTAAAATATTAATTTATATTAATTACAAAATTAAAATATCCTTGCATCTATTTAAAAATTGAAATTAATAATAATATGAAATTTTTTTAAAACGGAAATTATTTGCATTGGAATAAAGTAAGTTTTCTTTAAAAAAAAAAAGGAATTATTAGTTAAAATTATAAAAATTCAAACTTTTAATTTTAAGAGAAAAGTGTTTTACAAGTATTTCTTTTAAATGTTTTTTTAGAGAACATATGTAAAAATTTATATTTTAATTAATATTTTTAAAAATTAATTATTAAATTAAAATTTCTATTTATATAAATCATATATATTTATTAAATTAAAATTTCTACTTATATAAATCATATATATATAAAATTTTAAATTATTTTAATATTCATAATTATTTCATTAATTATATAAAATT